ATGTGGATCATTGTGTGGTCTACTTTTGCTGCTACTTATTTTGGTTTGTAATGAGTCAGTCTGGGTTTAAAGAATGAAAGGTTCTATGTTGGAACGTGCGTGGCCTTAATTCTGAAGCGCGACAGCTTGCTGTTAAACAGAAAATTGATGAAAATGGTTGCTCTGTGGTTTGCCTGCAAGAAACTAAGTGTATGCATATTGATCATAGGTTCATTAGGAAGTTTTGTCCTAGACGTTTTGACAATTTTGCATATGTGCCTTCGGTTGGTGCGTCAGCTGGTATGGTTATTATCTGGAATTCTTCTTTTTTTGAGGGCAAGTTAATTGAGGCCAAACCTTTTGGTATTATTGTGGAGTTTCTTTCCAAGCATACATCGGAAGTTTGGAAACGGGTGACTGTCTATGGTCCTTGTCAAAGTCCTGCCAGAGATAAGTTCGTGCAGTGGTTATATAATTTGGACATTAATTGTGATGACAAATGGCTTCTTTTGGGGGATTTTAACTTTATGAGGTCGCTCGGAAACCGCAACCTGCCAGGTGGAAATGTCAATGACATTTTTCTGTTTAATGAAATCATAGGCCATTTGGGCCTTGTAGAGCTGCCAATTAAAGGCAGACAATTTACTTGGTCAAATATGCAATCCCAGCCCCTCCTTGAACAAATTGACTGGTTTTTCACTTTGGTTGCTTGGACGTCTGAACACCCAAACACTTTGGTCCTGCCTCTTGCGCGAACAGCATCGGATCATGTTCCCTGTGTGGTCACTATTGCCACAGCCATTCCCAAAGCTAAAGTGTTTTGTTTTGAAAATTACTGGGTTGACTTACCTGGGTTTTATGAGTGTGTTGATCAGGTTTGGGATAGGACTGTACGTAAGTCTATAGATGCTTTAACGATCTCTGCCAAATTCAAGGCGCTCCGACATGCTTTAAAGAAATGGCATTTAAATCTGTCTACAGTTAAGGCGTTAATTGTTGATTGCAACAAAGTTATTCTATTCTTTGATGAGTTGGAGGAGATCCAGCCTTTAAGTTGGCCCGAATTCAATTTCAGACGAATAGTTAAGTTGCACCTGCAGGATATCCTGCATTGGCAGTATATTTATTGGAAACAACGCTGTACCATCAGAAGCATTAAGGTGGGGGAGGAAAATTCTAAGTTCTTTCACGCTATGGCCACAGAAAGGTACCGACGGAATACGATTTCTTCCATCAAGAATTCGGCGGGTGAGGTGGTTTCGGACCATCAAATGTTGGCGGGCATGTTTTGGTCGGATTTCAATCAGCGCATGGGACATGCAAAAGGAATACAAATGGGTTTTGATCTACCAAATTTAATTCAAAAAGTTGATGGTCTGGAGGATCTATCTCTGCCGTTCACGGATTCTGAGGTTGATGCTGTAATTAAGAATATGCCGAGTGACCGTGCTCCAGGCCCTGATGGCTTTACAGGTCTTTTTTTAAAGAGGTGCTGGACTATTCTCAAGGCGGACTTCATGCAACTTGTCAATGATTTCTATGAGGGGAGGTGTAACTTGGAATGTCTTAATACTTCCTTAATCACACTTGTCCCCAAGAAGTTAAGCCCTGAGGTGGTTGGTGATTTCAGGCCCATATCTCTGACAAACACGTGTTTGAAGTTTTTGACTAAGCTGCTAGCCAATCGGCTTCAAAGAGTGATCTTAAGATGTATTCATCGCAATCAGTATAGGTTCCTGCGTTGCCGCTCTATCCAGGATTGTCTTGCCTGGTGTTTCGAATATATTCATCAATGCAAAGCTTCAAAACGGCCCATCATCCTCCTAAAGCTTGATTTCACAATGGCATTCGATACAATTGAGCATGAAGCCATCCTCAGAATCCTTCAGTGCAAGGGTTTTGATGATTGTTGGACAGGTTGGATTAATAGCATTTTGTCCACGAGTTCCTCTTCTGTTCTTTTAAATGGTGTCCCAGGTAATCATTTTGTCTGCAGATCTGGCGTACGGCAAGGGGACCCTCTCTCTCCTTTATTATTTGTCATCGCGGTTGATTTGCTTCAGTCGGTAGTCAATGAGATGTGCTCAAGAAACATCCTAACTTTGCCAATTCCAACAAATTCCAATGACTATCCGATCGTGCAATATGCGGATGACACGCTAATTGTTTTGCCTGCGGTTGATGATCAATTGATTGCCTTCAAAAAAATGCTTACCACCTTTGCAGCATCCACTGGTTTACGTGTCAACTTCAGTAAGTCATCTTTGATTCCAATCAATATGAGCGATGAAGAGGGAGCTAGGGTTGCCAACCTTCTAGGTTGTGATGTGGGATCTATGCCTTTCACATATCAAGGACTTCCAATGGGTACCTCCAGACCCACAATTTATGATCTTTTGCCTCTTGTTGACCGTATTGAGCGTCGGTTATCCGCCTCCTCGTGTCTTCTAAATCAAGGAAGTAGATTGCAACTTCTTCAGTCGGTGCTTTGCTCAATGCCAATTTATTTCCTATGCACTCTATCTCTCCCCAAGGGCATTATACAGCAGATAGAGAGAATCATGCGTCAATGCCTGTGGAGAGGCAACACGGACAATCCTCGTCAATCCCTAGCTGCATGGGATCGGGTCTGCCGACCAAAGAAATGTGGGGGTTTGGGTGTGCTGAATCTGGGACTCCAAAATGAAGCATTGTTAATGAAGCATCTTTTCAAGTTTTTTAACAGAATGGATGTGCCTTGGGTCACATTAATTTGGGACACATACTATGCTGCTTTGCCACCTCAGGTCACGCAGAGCTGTGGCTCTTTTTGGTGGAGAGATGTCATGAGCTTATATGCCAACTTCTGCAAGTTAGCTGTTCCACAAGTGCACAAGGGCAACACGGTGGTTTTTTGGCTTGATCGATGGCAGTTGGGTAATAATGTGGTTCTTTTGAGTGAGAAGTTTCCTAGGCTTCATTCTTTTGTTATTGATGACACAGTCTCAGTCAGAGAATTTATGGAGCTTCCCGAGATCTCAGAACATTTCCATCTGCCGCTGTCTCAAGAGGCTTATTCTGAACTTTCTCATCTCCAAGTATTGCTGTCTTTGGTCAACCTGAATGGGGACTGCAAGGATATTTGGAAGTGGCCATCTAAATCTGGGGAGTTTAAATCAAAGTTGTATTATGAGTCTTGCTTCTCCCTTTTGGTAGTTGATCCTATCTTCAAATGGATATGGAGGTCTGCTTGCACACTTAAGTTTAAAGTGTTTGGATGGCTTCTCCTAATGGACCGTTTGAATACTAGGGATATGATGCAACGCAGGAACTGGATCATTCAGGATGATTCGTGTGTTCTTTGCCTTTGTGCCTCACATGAGGATCGTACACACCTTTTCTTTGCTTGCAACTTCAGCCAAAGGGTTTGGAATTACCTTGGGATTTCCTGGATCGCTCAACCAAACCAGAGTACATATGAGATGGCTCTTTCTGCTAGGAGGGATTTTGGTCATCCTTTCTTCACTGAGGTGGTTTTTACTGTTACTTGGAATATCTGGACACAAAGGAATGGGAAAATCTTTAGGAATGAGAGACCTTCCTTCATTTCTTGGAGGAGGAATTTCATACATGATATCTCTCTATTAGCTCATAGAATCAAATGTAAATATAAGGATAGCTTAGTTCTTTGGATAGCCTCTCTCTCATAGGATTCTTGTAAGTATTTCTTTCTTTACTTTCTGTCCCCATGTAATTATGTACACTTTTCTTAAAGTTTAATAAACACTGTGAGGCTGTTGCCTTGCAGTACATAGTCAAAAAAACAATCAGTTAAGAATAGAAAAACACATTTTCAGCCTGTTTGCGTTATACAAATGGCATTGTATACTGAGTGCAAGTGATCATCATTAATTAGTCACTTAGAGCATCTTCAAGGCGGACCTGCAAACCTCCTGCAACTGTCCGGACTGCGCTGTCCGGACCGAGGAAGGCATCCAACGCGGTCCTGTATCAGTCCGCGGAGCGGTCCGGACGCGATTTCTTTCACAAACCTCCCGCAAACCGGAGACAAAAGTGGGGGAGGTTTGCCAGAGTCCGGACAGATACCAAGCCCGTTTCTGACCGCCCTGGCCCACCAAAACCCCCTCCTCACCCGCGTGCGCTCTCACCCGGCGCCAGCTGCCCGCATTCATGCAGTTGTAGAGCGCGCCACTCAACATTGAAGTCGGCTCAAGATGGACGCGACCTCTCGTTGCCTCCGCCATTGAAGCGGCGCGCCAGCCGAGGGTGCCGCCTGGGATGCGTCTCCGGTGTCCTTACATGCTTAATGCTGGAGATGCTTGGTTGGTCGGGACGGATATCTACCGCGCCCATTCAGTGTCGTTGTCCATTCGTCTGCCGTCATTAAGCAGGCTCGCCGACCGAGAAACCCACTCCGGCGCCGCACATTGATGCACCCGGACGCCCGGCCTCACGGGAATCTGCGATATAAAGGCGGGCACACCCGGGCTAACTCCACAGTTGCGCCTCCTACGCGCCGCCGGTGAACCATCAGCCGGCCCGGTGGGACGACGACAGTTGCTATGGACAAGTCACCTGATCTTTGTCCGCCTAAGAGACAGTAGAGTCAACAGCACGAGGGAGCAAGGGGGCAAGAAATAGATAAACAAGCGTACCTGACCAGCAGACCCTGTTGCAGATGGACGGCACGCGCGCACACAAGCTGTTTTGAGTTTTGACAGAGAAATCCCGAACAAACAGCACGAGAGCCCCTGAAAAATCATCAATGAATAAGCTGGACTTGTACTGTGGCTCGACAGGATTACAGGGAGGCATAAGTATTATGGTCAAACTGAAAATCAAGCACCATAGAATCCCAATCGGTTTTGGACTTGGTCTCTTGGAAGCCGACGGATCGCTGCTCCGGAACGCCTCGTGCCGCCTCCTTGATCGGCAAGGCAGCTCGCCATACAAATCCCCCCGATTTGTCCTCACAGAGACCCGCCCTAATCGTCCGATCTGCTTCAATTCAAGGTCGCGCCATGGCTGCCGCCCCGTTCCCGAACTGGCTGATGATGGAGCGCTTCGTCTTCCGCAGGGACGACAAGGGGTCCTTCCCGGACGCCACCAAGGCGCCCATCAGGGCGTCCGGCACCACCTCCTGGAACGCTCGCTTCCACATCGCCTTCTGCCTCGCCGAGCCCCCGCTCCCCTCCCGCCTCTACGCCCGGCTGCCGCGTTTTCCAGACCCCAGGAAGCACACCCCCTTGGCCATCCTGGCGGCGCACCGCCATCTCCTCCTGCTTCGCATCGGTACCGATATCCCCGGACTAGGGCTGGTGCAGGACTTCCTCATCTACAGCGCCTACGACACTTCCTCGCTCAAAGCTCTGCCCCCTTGCACCGAGCCCTACACGGATTACACCCGCACCGGTGACAGCCTACCTCGCGGTCCTCCGCTCGAGCAGGGGAAGCACCGCCTGCTGACGGTCAAATCCATCGGCCTCTTGTGCCGAGGCGGCGAAGGCGAGCAAGAGTTTGCGGTGGCGGAGCTCTGCGTTTTTAAGTCCGTCCACTCGGAGGTCTACGCTGACGTCTGTTTGCTGCGCTCCTCCACATCCGCTGGCCCCGTGCTTGCCGGCGAATGGAACGCCATGCGTCTACCAATCCTTGGCATCGACAATGTCAATGATCCTTGGCACCTCTGTTGCTGGGACACGGACGCCATCGTCCCCTTCAACCGCTCGCTTTGCTGGATCGACTACCACCGAGGCATGCTCATCTACGACGTCTTCGCAGAGCACGTCCCTACCGTCACCTTCCTCGCGCTCCCTCTTGATGAGTTCCCTTCTGCTCACACTTTCCGTGAAATCAAGCCATTCAGCTGGTTATACCGGGGTGTGTCCGCCATTGATGATGGCCGTGTGCTCAAGTTTGTGAATGTCACCCGCCATGATGGCATTGGTCACGGGGAACTCAAATCTGGTTCAGGCTTCACCATCACCTGCCACACTCTCGCATTAGGCAGCATGGTGTGGGAATTAGACTACAAGATCACTTCGGCTGAGCTCTGGTCTTCCAATCCGCACCTTCCACACACCGTCCTTATGTTTCCTCAAGTAAACGTCGACAGGCCATATGTAGTGCACTTCCTCATCAGCGAATTCAAATACGTCATTAGGAAGATGTGGGTGGTCAGCATTGACATGAGCACCAGGATAGTGGAGTCAATTTCCCAATACATCAATGGGAAGGAGGGCCTTGAAACCGATGATGCTGACTTCACCAGAAGAAGGTCTGGTGCTCCCGCGTCCTTCCTCCCCTGTGAATTCTCCAGGTTCCTTCGTCTCTCCAGGTGATTTTCTTTTGGCATTAATCATTTTAGTCTTGTTGGTATTTCAATTACTTGGAGTCTTGGAGAGCAGCCTCTTTCTGCAACCAGAAAGTAATGTAGTGTATTGTATTGTATTTATGTACTGCAGAAAGAACGAGGATATGGGATGACTCATGGTCTACAGATCAAGTTCAACTACAATTAGTAATGGTAAGGACGATTGGACGAAGCTTTCGGAGAGATCATTATTTCTGAAATTGACCAGTATAGGATTACCTTGGTAGCAATATTGTCTGCTTACTCTCTTGTATACACCATGGTAACAATACTATGTTGGTTGATTTGCATCTTAGAAAAAATATTTAGTGAGAAAATATGTCATTACCATGAGAATACAAAGAACTATATATCTGCCTAATTTATGAAAAACACTCCTAGATAGAACTGGAAACAAGACAAATCAATCGCAATTAGCGTTATTTTGTACTGGTCAGTTTGCAAAAAAGGATGTTTCTTTGTTAACAATAGAAGATAATGCCAACAATGAGACTGTTTCAAGACCCTGGCAATATTTAAAGTAGTAACTCACATATTTTCCTAATCACTACCAGTTAGTGTTGAATAGTTTTTTGCCGTTCATCATTTTAATATTGTTGGTATTTCAATTACGTGGAGAGCAGCGTCTTTCTCCATCAGACCCGTAATGTAGTGTATTTTATTTATGTATTGCAGGAAGAGAGCAAGGATATGGAATGACTCACGTCTGCCAACACTTCATCATACTGGATAGCTATTCGGTCTACAGTTCAAGTTCAACTACAATAATTGCAAGGGTGAAGCTATGCATGGGAGAGACTACTCATACGCAGCTTATGTAGTTCACCGTTAATCTTGATGTCTGTGAGGATCTAATAATGTATTAATGTATATCGTCCGTCCTCAAAATTTGCGTCATTTCTTTTGTTGTTTACCTTTGGAAAGTCTTGGCTGCTTGCAAAAGACTATTAAAAAGTAGCTGAAGTATGCAATCGTTATTTTTGACATTGACTAGTATGGGATTACCACGCCTTTAGCTCTTGCTGATTCATTGTTATATTATTACTGAATGGTGCAAAATAGACAGAATGGTGTACCTGCATTTGGTGTCGCCCTCTTCATCACTTTCTTGCATATGTGCATCTTTTTGGTCACGTAATAATATTGTGTGCTAACATATTTTGTATATTTTGTTTATAGTTTCATAATGGACTGTTAATATATACTTGTTTTAGTTTCATTATGGATCTGAATGAAGGAAAAAAGGTAAACATGCTATATACTTGAGTACAGCAGCACCAAGGGTTTCGACGGTGTTATGAAAACATTGTGCCAAATATACAGCCAGGATTGTAAGATTTTTTCTCTCTCTCTCCCAGACTCTCACTGTAGCGACTACTCTTTACAACCAAAGTATTGTTTGTGTAATACTAGTATTCTTTTTTTGCGGGTGTAATACTAGTATTCATCTGAACAATTTCCCTAATATCGTGCTGCAACATAATAAAGAGTTTCAGAGATGAATTCAATGCAGAATAGCTTTAAGCGAAGCTGATGTCGCGGGCCTGCATGTTCAAGAATTTTATTTAAGACATAAAATCATAACATTTGCTAAATAAATAAAGGCAGACGCTAAGTGTCGGTCGGATGATAATTCTAAAAGATCGACCGTCCAGGCAGCCGCTCGATGGAGTCGCGGACAGCCGTCTGGTCCTTCCCTTTGAGTCGTTGAGCCTTTGCAACAAGTCTCATGTTGCATTCAACGCTTTGCAACACGAGCCTTGTTGCAATCCCCTGAAATGCTTTTTTTTTGCATGAGCCAATGAGCCTCATATTGCACTCGGCGCTTTGCAACACGAGTCTTGATGCGATCCCCCAATACAGGTTTTTTCCTTTCTACATGATAGTCGTTCGATCATTAGCTATTTGCAACATGGCTCGTGTTGCGCTCGGGGTTTCGTCTTCATCGGTTTGCAACATAGTTTGTGTTGTGTTGTGCGTCTTGCAACAAGGGCCATGTTGCAAATGTCTCGGTCAACGGCACATGGCGCGCAGACGATGCGGTGGATGTTTTGTGTCCGATCGGCCGTCTGGATAGAAGGATTTCCCATAAATAAAGGGAAACATTTAGCGTCAACCGACTGAAAATAATTGACGCGCCCGCCACCTCCTTTAAGCTCCACATGCCCTCGACACCTCACTCAAGGAAACACGAGACTTATCTCTTCGTCTAGAGACATCGCGTCTCTCTCCCTCTCTCATCTTTATGTTTTCTGCAACATTACCTATGTTGCAAAAGTCCTTTCACAACACTATCTTTGTTGCAGAAAAAAGTGAAGACAGAAAAAATCCCACAACACAACATATGCAAAAAAAATAAATCCCGCAACACAACCTATGTTGAAATTTTATTTTTGCAACAAGATCTTTGTTGCAAAGCAGAAGAAGACGTCGAGCCGCTAGATTTATCAGATGGCAAGGCGGTGGATCTTTTAAAATAAACGCTCGTCGACGCGTAGCAGGCCCATAAATACAAGGATAATCTGTTTAGCATACCGCATACGTTACAAATGTAGCGTTAACTCGGGTGGGAGAGGAAAATAAAGTGCATGAGAAATAAATCGATCACGGGTTGTGGTAGCTGTCAGCCGAAACTACATGGACCAATAACCAACTCAAGACATCACGTAAGGCATAAAAAAATACAAACACGCACGCATGGGTCCATCATGAGAAACCCTCAAGAATACAACAAGCGGAAGGAAGGCGGACGGCTAGGGTTAGAGTTTCTGCATGGGTGGCGGTGATCTTCAACAATGAAGTGAAGCGACTGCGCTCTTCCTCCCATCAGGCCGACTGTTTCTGATTGCTTTTTTTCGATGAACAGGGAGGCCTCTCCCCGGTTCCATTAACTCAGAATGAAACCATACAGTGTTGTCTTTTACCTACCAACTACTTGTTCCAAGAGGTTCAGGGTTTTTTATTACAACCAAGCTAAAAGTGAGGCTAACAAGACTAGACGAAAGGTAGAGGAAGATAAAACTGGCCTAGGTAAGCTAGGCTACAAGAGTCCAGCCTCCTTCGACCGCGCGGCGGAACGTGACAGTTGCGCTCACATCACGATCGCGCCAACACCCTTTCTGAACTTGAGCGGGGGCGCCAGAGCCGCCTGAGGAGACCAACAGATCGCGAGCCTGGACACCGGGCTGGGCATCGCATTCTTGCCGTTGGTGTCCCTTTTCTTGGTTGGGTAGTGGAAGCCTTCATCTTCTGAGATTTTGAGGTTCCCCCAGCTTGCACCGCCGTCAAACTGTGTGCTCTTCATGTTCAGCCACTCAGGATCATCAAAGGTTGTTGGAGCAGCTTCCTCAACGCCTCCAGGAAAGACTCCATCAGGGCCTTGTCCACCTCTGGGGTCAGAATCACCCAGAATTTGATCATTCTGTGGATCAGCCCCCAAACCTGAGTAATAGAAGTCCAAATGGTGTTATTGAAAATCATAGAGTTCCTATATTTCCATAAGCACCACAGGACAGCCGAGCTAACTATATTCAAAGCTACATGTTTTTTGTTAGAAATCCAGAAGCGGGCCACGGATTCAAAATTCGTGCCCACGGCTTTTTGGAAAAAGCAACTGACAAAAGACCAAATGTTTTTGGCTACAACACAGTCAAAGAACAGATGGTGGTTAGTCTCATTCTCAGCACAAAAAACACAGTCTAGAGGTTTGATGATGTGTCTTTTCCTCAGGTTATCCCTAGTCATGAGCTTATTCTGGGAAAACAACCAAAGGAAAACATGTATCTTGGGTGGAACTGCCAGTTTCCACACCGCAGGTAGGAACAGAGGTTGCACCCCTCTAAAGTTGATCACATGGTACAGCGAGCTAGATGAATAGATCCCTTTGTTTTCAAGTTGCCAAATCAAAGAGTCAGGGTCATTGCTAAAGTTAATGTCTCTGGCTATCTCCATCAGCTGATACCACTGCTCCATCATCATATCATCAAAGTTCCTTCTAAAAGTAAGTTTTAGGGTTTCACCATCCCAGACCTCCCTGACATTCTTGTTTTGCTCATTACAAATCATGTAGATGTGCCAGAATTGGACAACTAGTGAAGATGTGCCAAACCAAGTGTCCTCCCAGAATCTAATTTTATCCCCTACTCCTACCTTCCATCTGTATCCAAACTTCAAAGCTTGGATGATGGATTTTACTCCTTTCCAAAATATAGAGATACTAGTGGAGGAGCTAGGAGAAAAGAGATTGGTTTTGCCCCTCATATATTTTTGGTCTATCATCTTTCTCCAAGGTTTCCCTTCCCCTTCATAATATCTTTTGACCCAAGACCCTAGCAGGCAAAGGTTAATATCTTGCAGGTTTGGAATGCCTAGGCCTCCAAATTCATTTTTCATGCAGACCAATTTCCAGTTAGCTAAGTGCAACTTCTTGTGGCCTTCAAAGTCATTCCACGAACAGTTTGCCATTTCGGTGTTTATAATATCTATTGCCCATTTAGGGAATTTAAAGAAAGACGGCAAGTAAATAGGGATGCTAGCCAGGCAGGCCTGGATGAGGACTATTCTCCCTCTATAAGAAAGAAGGTTATCCCTCCAGCCAGCAATTCTTTTCATGACCTTGTCAATTAGAGGTTGGATGTCTTCTCTCCTAAGTTTATCATAGTGCAGAGGAATGCCCAGATATTCAATGGGGAAAGATCCCTCAGCACACTCTAGTGTATCCAGAAAAGCCCTAACCTCAGCATTTTCCATATTAATAGGAATGAGCTCACTCTTATTGTAATTGATTCTCATGCCTGAGATGTTCTCAAAGCAAGATAGAACCATTTTCAGGTTCCTAGAATGATCTAGGTTCTTATCCAGGAATAGGATGGTGTCATCAACATATTGAAGACATATAATCCCTTCAGGACAAACCTCGGGGCATAGGCCTTTAATCAATCAACGGTCAGCTGCTTTCATTAGCATCCTAGTGAGTGCATCAACTACTGAAAGTGCTAGTTATCGACTAGAGGGGGGTGAATAGGCAATTTTTATGAAAGTCTTCAAAACGTGGAAGTTTCGAAGACAAACAATAGAAATAACCTAATTAATATGCAGTGGAAGATAAACTACA